TTGCTTCACTGAGGTTAAACTGATGGGTCTATAAATGATAGATTTGTCCTCACGTTTTTTTTGAACAAGGGTGTAACTTTTACAATTATCCACTCCTCGAATACTGTCCCTGTATCAAAGTAAGATTAGAAGATATTGATCAGTGCCACTGCAGTTTCCATCCTGAATTCCTTCAGTATCCTGGAACGTATGTGACACAGTCCTGAAAATTATCAACTTTTAAATACAGCCAGCCTTTCTAATACTTTTGCCTTATTAATTTTTCAGCCCAGCCAGGGTTGCCACTACTTCCAGTTTCATTATGACATTGGCAGCATCATCTTTGTTAGTAATCATTGATATAAAATACTCATTTAATACCTCAGACATGCCCTCTGCATCTACATGTAAATTCGTTTATCAATGTCTAATTGACGTACACCTTCTACCATCGTTTTACTGTGTATATGCCTTTAGGAGACATTTTTAATTCCTTTTTATGTTGGCTACCAGTCTCCTCTCATTTAGCGCTCATTTTTCCTTCACTCAACAATTGAAATTTCAATATTCAACAGGTTCTCACGTATTACCAAAATGTTATACAGACCTATTTCTGCTTCATCTTACTCTCTGTCTCGTTCCTCATCCACATAGATCTGGCTCTGATTCTCCAACTGTTTACCCTTGGTGAGAAAATACCATAAGAAATAGGAACAGGAGGAGGCCATTCAGCCCCTCGAGCCTGTTCCACCATTCAGTAGTTTCATGCCTGATCCAACATTCCTCACATGCACTTTCCTGCCCTTTCTCCATAACCCTTGATTTCCCTACTGATTAAGAATCTATCTCAGTCTTAAATATGCACAAGGACTCTGCCCCCACAGTTCTCTGTAGCAAGGAATTTCAAAAACTCAATCTCAAAGAAGAAATTCATCCTCATCTCAGTCCTAAATTGGCACTCCTTTATTCTGGGACTATATTCGCTCCCATGTGAGAAACAACCTCTCAGTATTTATCCTGTCAAGCCCCTTAAGAATCTTATATGTTTCAATAATTTCATTCTTTACTCATAAGACAATCCCTCCATACCAGGGATGATCCTACTGAACTTACTGAAGTCAGACGTGTGGTGGATCACGCTCCACTTGCTTGGATGGGCGCAGCTTCAAAAACGCTTGAGAAGCTTGACACCATCCCAGACAAAGAAGCCCATTTGATTAACACCACAGCCAACACCTTAAAATTACACTCCCATCAGCACCAATCCAGTGGCAGTAGTGCTATCTTAAAACAATTACAATCTACAAGATGCAGTCGCTTTAAGATACAGGAGCAGAGACAGATCATTCAGTTCATCGAGTTTGCTCTGTTATTTAATGAGATCATGGTTGATCTGATAACCCGCAATTCCACTTTCTTACTTTGTCCCCATATCCCTTACTGATTAAAACTCTATCTCAGTCTTGAAAATATCCAACTATCCAAACTCAACAGCCTTCTGCACAAAGAATTCCACAGATTCAATACACTCAGAGAAGAAATTCCTGCTTGTGTGTTTTAAATGTGTGCCCCATACACCTCAATCTGCCCTCTTGTCTAAGATTCTCTCACATTGGGAAACAACGTTTCTGCATCTACCCCATCAAGCCCCCAAAGAATCTTCTATGTTTCAAAAAAGGTCACCTTTCATTCTTCTAAATTTAAATGAGTACAGACCCAACCTACTCAGCCACTCCTCATAAGATAGTCCCTCCACACCTGACATCAACCCAGTGAACCTTCCCTCAATGCTAGTATATCTCTCCTTGGATAAGGGCCCAAAACTCCGCACAGCATTTCAGCTGTGGTCTGACCAGAGCCTCATAAAGTTTTAGCAAAACCTCTCAACCTTTACTCCATTTCTTTGCAAATAAAAGCAACATATAATTCACTGTCCCTAATACCCACAGATTCTAATGAAGGGTATAAACCCGAATCGTCGACTTTCCTGCTCCTCTAATGTTGCCTGACCTGCTATGTTCCTCCAGCTCCATGTTAGGTGGATTGGCCATGTTAATATGGCCTGTGGTGTTCAGAAACGTGCAGGTTAGGTGGATTAACCATGGTAAAAATATGGGGTGGGTCTAAGTGAGATGCTCTTCGAGTGTCGGTGCAGATTCAATGGGCCAAATGGCCTCTCTCTTAACTGTAGGGATTCAATGATTCCATGATTTAAAGAATTCTACTAAATTTATCAGACATGATTTCATGAAAACACACTCACTCTGCTTTACCATATGATGTATTTCTAAATGCTCTTCTTCATATCCTTTATAATAGGCTTGAACATTTTCCCAATATTGACATTAAGTGGCATATAGTGAAGTGTTTCTTTGTCTCCTTTCCTTTTCAAATAAAGGAATACATTGTCAGTTTTCCAACCCTCTGGGACTTTTCCAGAATTTAAGGATTCTTGGAAGATTACTACTGTCTCCTTTGACAGTGCCTTCTAAACACGTGACTTATAACATCCTTGGGCCACATCTGCATGAGAAAACTACCTGCAAATTACAAATGGACATACCAATCAGGAGCAGTTCACCCATCAGCCCCTCCAGCTTGCTCCGCCATTCAATTAACTCATGGCTAATCTGACTGTAACTTTAAATCTACATTCTTGCCTACAAATAACCTACAAATTGCTTGCTTAATAATAATCTATTTACCACTGCATCACCTCATTTGCCATATCTTTGCCCACTCATAACCAATAAATAGCTTTCTGTATCCTTCTGTCTTCTTCAAAACATTTTTTTTTAAACCTATCTTTGTGTCGTCAGCAAATTTGGCAACCTTCTTCCGTCCCCTTGTCCAAGTCATTTATACAAATTACAAACAAGGGGAGGCAATGGCCTAGTGGTATTATTGCTGGACAGCGATAGTGTTCTGGTGTCCCGGGTTCGAACCTCACCACGGCAGATGGTGGAATTTGAATTCAATAAAATATGAATATAACGATGACCATGAATCGATTGTCGGAAAAATCCATCAGGTTAACTAATGTCTTTTAGGGAAGGAAACTACCATCCTTACCTGGTCTGGCCTACATGCAATTCCAGACCCACAGCAATGTAGTTGACTCTTGAGCTGCCCTCTGGGCAATTAGGGATTGACAATAAATGCTGCCTAGCCAGCGATGCCCTCATCCCGTTAATGAATAAAAAACAAACAGTTGAGGTCTCAGCACCAACCCCTGTAGGACACCACTTGTTGCATCTTGCCAACCTGAAAAAGAACTATGTACACCTACTCTCTGCTATTTGTTAACCAACAATCTTCTGCCAACATGCTACATTCTACACCAAGCCACACACCATCCTGACTTTGAACGATATTTCTGTTCCTTCACTGCTGCTCAGTCAAAATTCTGGCTCTTCTTTTGAAGCAGCACAGGACTGCAGCTATTAAGAAGGCAGTTTACCACCAGTTTCTCTATGGCAATTAGGGCTGAGCAATAAATAGTGACCCTTCCAATGATGCACATATCTCAAACAGATAAGCAAAAAGCAGCAGCACTACAATTCTATCCAATCGCAGTGAATGAGTGGCCAATAGAAACTTGCATACAAGACATTGTTTGATGCTGATATAACCGTATCTGTTGTGGAGGAATCAATATGGAAATGGTAATAGTCAAAGCCTAGAGCAAGGGATGTGAGAGAATGAAAAATAGTCACCTTCTATTGCAACAATCAAATAACAATTTACACTGGTACAGCTCCTTCAATGTACTTCAAAGCACTTTAGGGAGTGAGATGCCCCAGGCCACATTGGGCAAGACTAGGTCGAATGACTAGACCTTTAGTGAAAAGACGAGTTTTAGAGAGGTACTTAAGGATTGAAAGAAAAGAGAGGTGATGAGAGAATTGTGAATGCTGCATACTAACCATAAGGTAAAGAGGGCACAAATGCATGAAAGGTCAGAATTAAATCATAGATTGAAGAAGGGGATGCAAGCCTGAAGGAAACTGCAACGACCAAGTCGCTGGGTCAAATCCTGAAACTCTCTCCCTAAGGGCATTGTGAGTGCACCTTCAGCACATGAACCACAAGGGTTCAAGAAGACAGCCCGCCACCACCTTCTCAAGGGCAACTAAGAATGGGCAAAAATGTTGGTCTAGCAAGCGATATCCAATTCCCATGAGTTAATAAATAAAGGAGAAGGTGTGATAAAGCCATGGAAGAATTTAAAAACAAAGAGAGGGTCATTAGATTTAATGTGTTGCGGAACTGTCACCAATGCACATGACTTAGAATCAGGTGACTTCATTTTACACAGATTGAAACAGAAAAAGTTTGAAAATCAAAAGAATGGGAAATATTGTACAAAATTCAATAGAACTGAAGTATTAAAACATTTCAGAAGTAGAAAGGTGAAGTATGGATGGAGATGCAAAGCATTCTGAACATGTAAAATAAACATGCTTGTTGCCAGGTCACATGTAGAATTTGCATCTCAGTTCTGTATTGCAAAGGTCATTCAGGTTCTACTTGATCTGGTTTAGCCCGGAGGAGCCACCATGCAAGGAGACAGACTCAATAACTTGAGTAATGTTTACAATGACACACAAGAATATTGCTTTCATTGTCTCAATTGAAAGAGGTCTTGGACTTGCACAACTTTAAGTCAAATAGGATTCTCACAAAGCAGAACTAGTCATATAGTCAAAAAGGATGGTGGTGAGGTAGAAGGATGGTATTTGTTTGTTTGTTTGTAAAATGGAAACTGACTCCACGCCTGTAAATTATGCTAGAAAGAGGTAGGATGTAGATAAAGGAAGTGGAGCAAGCCAAGGATAGATCATTAATTATCAGTTTCAGCTGAAATGTGAAATAATAAGTTTGGTAGCCTTTAGACTCTGTGACAAATTAAAATAGTTTGTATGTCAGGAAAGGCCCAAAAAAGCAACACTCATTGAAGCTTCCAACAACTCTAATAAGCAGTTATTATCCTGGGAAGTTAACATAACAGAGAAAATTACCTCTTCCGCAAGAGTTTCATCTGCTTTTTTTTGAGAATCAATTTGTTCTGCTGTACTCCTAAAAATAAATACAATTGATTCAAAAACAGAGTTCATAAAATTGCATACATGCTTATATCACCATCAAAAATTCCTTTCGTACAAACAAAAGTAATTCAAACAACTATAATTAACTTTTTTTCTATTTCTTACAGTACATTTTATTAAAGCACTTTGGGTTTACTGTCTTAGGAGGCTAGTGAAGCAAGTAAATTCATATTAATGATGCAATTCCCAAAATCACATTGGCTTCAGTTAAACTTTAACCCTGTTCCTTCACACCATTGGGTTCAAACTCTGTTGCAAATGTAGATGCTAATACATTAGAAGAATAACAAGAAAAATTAAATTAACAGAAAAAAAGACTAATTAACCATACTTATTTTCATTTTTTCACCATTCTGTTTCTCCTAGTGTTGAGAGTTGATTTCTTACTGGAGTTTGTCTCCAAAGGTTCTAAACATCTCTGATATCACAAATGCAGAAGCTCATTTGCATTTTGAACCTAACTGATCAGTATCGGAGGTGAGTGAGGGTGGGTTATGTGCAGAGAGAGAGAGTGTGAGGGAGTGAGTGGGGAGTGAGTGAGTGAGGGGTGAGTGAGGGGTGAGTGAGGGATGAGTGAGGGAGGGTGTTAGCAGAGGAGAGGGCGGGAGAGGGGTTGGGGAGAGCACCAATCTAAGGCTGATATCCACAAACCAATACTTCCAGCATAGATTATTGAACTATTTTTATCCATTCATAGGATGAGTGTGTCACCAGAAGAACATCCACCCCTAATTGACCTTGAAAAGGTAGTGATGAGCCGTTTTTTTAAAACCCTGTGCCCATCTCATCCTTCAGTTACCCTCATACTTCTAGACAGCAGAGGTCCTGGGTTTGGAAGGTGCTGTCAAAGGTATGTCTTCAGTGCTTCTTGTAGATGCTACACACTGGTAGATCTGTGTACCAGTGGTGGAGAAAGTAAGTGTGGCAGGTGATGGAAATGGATGTCAATACATTTCGGTAGGGAGAATCAAGAAAAGCGATATTAAAAGGATACAATTCTGAAGGGGTGCAGGAATAGAGTAACCTGGGAGGATAAAGGAGGCAAAAAAAATCAAACTGTTGGACATGTTATAACACACATCTTGAGGTGAGACTTCAATTGGAGCTTTTGGTCACAATACCTCTTAAACATGATATGAATGAGGAATGCTTTCATTAGTATGGAGTGTTTGGATTTCTAGTCCAATGGCAATACCACTATGCCATCACTGGTCAAGTAATGAATTATTAGAGATGGCAAGGTATCGTAAGAGAGTAAGAAGTCACACAACTCCATGTTACAGTCCAACAGGTTTATTTGAAATCACAAGCTCTTGGAGCACCACTTCACCTGACGAAGGAGCAGCGCTCCAAAAGCTTGAGATTTCAAATAAATCTGTTGGACCATAACCTCGTGTCATGAGACTTCTGACTTTGTCCACCCCAGTCCAACACTGGCACCTCCACATTAATGCTAAGAAAGTAGGTTAACAATGCAAATGGGATCCTGATCTTCATAACTATAATCTTAGAATACAAAAGAAAGAGGTTTATGGTGAACCTCACAAAATACTGGCTTGACTTGTCAACTGGCGCATTGTGACCAATTCTGGGCACCATTTGGGAAAGTAGTGAAGGCATTGGAGAGAGACCTGTGTTCCAAGGAAAGTTAAGAAAGAAATGGGACTCTTCCCGAGAAGAGAACGTTGAGAGGAGATTTGATACAGATATTAACATGAGAAGTGTGGACACAGTACTTAGAGAAAAATAGTTCCAATGGCAGAAAGGTTGAGAACCGGGAAGATGCTAACATTAGGCAACTGGTAAAAGAAGCATTGGTGACACTGTATGAAAAAAAAATCAATTTTCCAACTTGAACAGTCAGGACCTGGAATGCACTGACTGACACTGTGGTGGGGCAGATTCAGTTTGCTAAAGGGAATTGGATAATTATCTTGAGTGAAAAGATCTGCAGGACAACAGGAAAAGGCAGTGAGTTGGGATCGAGAGCCAGTAGGAATATGATGTCTTTCTCCTGAGCTGTCACTATTCTAAGTGCCGTGATTCTAGGAGGTGAAGATGACTGAGCCAACAATAACCAAAGGAAACCCTGTAGTGATGTCCGGGACTGAGGTGATTAGCCTCTAACATCTACAGCCATCTTCCTTTATGCTGGTGTTATAAAGCAGAGGTTGACCCCCTCTGATAATTGAGTTTTTTGAAAAATAATCGATTGGCCTTTGAATTCCACAATTATCGCCCTGTAACACCACAGCTCCAACATCTAGACCGCTTGTGTCGATGGCAACTTTAAAGGGTTGCAAGAAATTTGGTGTGGTGGTTAACACTGCTTTTAAATTCTCAAATTCCTCCTGGCATTGCTCTGTCCACCGAAATTTCATATTTTTTTTAAACAAATTCGTCGGCAGTGCCACCACATTATTAAAATTTGGTACAAATTTCCTGTACAATCCACTCAATCCTAAAAACTGCAGCACTTGCTTCTTCGAGGGTTGATCTTGGAAATTCCTCGATAGCTTTCATCTTCACAATCCTCAGTGTCATCCATCAGTGTCCGAAGTTGTGCCCTAAGAATGTCACTTCCACCTTCTCAAATTCTGTTTTTGCCAAATTTATGACCAACTTTGCCTTCCACGGTCTCTCAAAGAGCTCTGCTAAATGTTCCATGTGATCTTTCCACAAATGTCTAAAGATCACTAAGTCATCTATATAGACAGCACAATTAGTCAATACTGCCACAACTCTGTTCATAAATCTTTGAAAAGTGGCTGGTGCATTTTTCATTCCAAAGTGCATTACTTTCAATTGATATAGCTCATTTGGGGTTACAAAAGCAAAAACTTCTTTCGCTCTCTCCAACAAAGGTACTTGCCAGTAACCAAGAAATAAGTCCAACCTTGTGATGTAAGTGGCTTGTACTACTTATTCCACACAGTCCTTCAGCCATGGAATTAGGTAGGAGTCAGATTTGGTCACGGTGTTGACCTGCCAATAATCGAAGCAGAATCGTTGAGTACCATCAGATTTGGGAACCAACACGATTGGCAAACTCCACTTGCTTTGACTCAGCTCTATGAAGTCTTCTTGGAGCATCGCTTCCACTTCCCTCTGAACCTGTTTTGAAGATTAAGCCTGTAGGGGTGTTGTTTTATCAGAACAGCATTCCCTATGTTAACCTCATGTACTCGGGTACTAGGTCTCCCAATTCTATTTCTACATAGGTCCTCATAGCACTGTAACAAGTCTTTCAATTCAGTTCTCCGTTCCTGGGTCAGATAGCTCACTATCCTATCCTATTTTTTAAGGGCTTCCTTATTAGTCAATTTTTATTCTGAGACACATCAAAAACCGAATCATCTGGATTTGATACCTCACTCTGAGTGGCAGTAACAAATACCTGCTTCTCCAATTCCCTTTCCCTGTCATAATAAGGTTTCAGCATGTTTACATGACATACATGATAATTTTTTTTCCTAGCTGGCATTTTTACCAGATAATTCACCTGACTTAACTTCTTCTCATTCTGATAGGGACCCCTAAACCTTGCTTTGAAGGGGTCTCTTATCCCTGGTAACAGCACCAGTACTTTATCCCCACGGGCAAACATACGAATTTTACATTTCTTATCTGCTTCTTGCCTCATTACGTACTGTGCCACCTTCAAATGTCAGCGAGCTAATTCACCTACTCTGTTTAATCCTTCTCTCAAATCAGATACATAATCCAACTGTGAGATCTCTGACTTCGGACCTATCAACTTTTCCGTAATTAATTTTAAAGGCCCTCTAACTTTGTGTCCAAATATCAATTCAAATGGAGTAAACAGAGTCAATTTATTTGGAACATCTCTAATAGCAAATAATATAAATAGGGTACCTTTATCCCAATCATTTGGGCAATCCTGGGAATAACCCCTCAACATTGTCTTGAAGGTCTGATGCCACGTTTCCAATGCTCCCTGAGATTCAGAATGGTACGCACTGGATTTAAAGTGTTTGATGCCTAAACTATCCATGACCTCCTTAAATAACCTGGCAGTAAAATTGGAACTTTGCTCTGACTGAGTCTCCCTGGGTAGTCCATAATGGGTAAAGAAAGCAAGCAACTCCTCCACAAGCTCTTTTGCCTTGATAGTCCATCATGGACTTGCCTCTGGAAACCTGGTAGACACATCCATTATGGTTAGCAAATGCTGATTTTAGGGAGGGGACCTACACAATCAATCATAACCCGTGTAAAAGGTTCTTCAAATGCAAGAATTAGCGTCAAAGGCACTGGTTTTATAATTACCTGTGGCTTTCCTTTCATCTGACACGTACGACAGGTACGACAAAATTCAAACACATGTTGATGGAATCCAGGCCAATAAAAATGCTTCTGTAACTTACCATGAGCGTTCCTCACTCCTAGATGACCTCCTACAGGTAATTCGTGTGCTACCCGCAATACCTCCTGTCTGTATTCTACCAGCAACACAATCTGGTCAACTCCCGCCCATTTCTCATCTGCACTAACCTGCCAAGGTCTCCATTTCTGCCTTAAGATTTTATCCTTAAGGTAATAACATTCTGGAATACAAAATGGTTCCTTTTCAGAGTAGGCTTTATGATATAAATCCTTTAATGTCTAATCTTTTTGTTGCAATTCCATTAATCTTTCAGAACTAAACACCTCTGCCTGATCCTCTACCTGCTTAGGTTTCATCAAACAGGGTGTCAGCTAACTGGACCTCAACTCCTTCATCTTTCTCTTTTGTTTCACCTTCTTATTTTAGCTTATGGCTGTGGGATCTTGTCACCACAAAGTCCGGAAAAATTCCAGGGTATTTTCCTTTTAACTCCTCAGTTTTCTTTCTGCCTCTCCGTGACAAGGGACATCACTCCCACCTTTGATCCAGCTAAATTGTTTCCAAGAATAAACTGTATTCTTGGAATAGCCACTTTTTAAATTATTTCCACTATCATTTCTCCAGTCTTGATTGGACTTTCTAGCCTTGTCTTACACAGGGGAACACTAATTCTCTCTCCATTTATTCTACAGATTATCACTCTCTCGGGCAACATTTTAGAAGGTGTGCAAATATTTTCATCTCTTACTATTAGAGACTGACCAGCTTCCATATCTCTAAATATGTTAACTTCTTTACCTACCCCCCGCAACTGTTCTAACTGAGTAAATCTTACCCACACAGGTGAAGTCTTTGAAAAGTTTGGGCAATATCTTACTTTCCAGCCAGTGACTAGGCTGTGCACATTCTTGCAGCTCCTCGACTTCTCCTGGGATTTCCTTCATTACCTCAACAAATTCCACTGGTTTAGCATCTTTTACCACATCCTTTTTCCCAGTGCCTTTCTTAATTCACCAGCACTGTGACTTTATGTGTCCCACCTTATTGCAGTGAAAACATCTGAGGTCTTTCACCTCTTTTCCACCCTCTTGGGTTTCTTTTTTCACTTGTGGTAAACTGTTCCTATCGTGATCTACTTTTTGTTTTGCATTGAAGGATCTCCCTTTACCCAATTTCTATCCCTCATGGAATTAAAATTGCTGTTGGAAGCTAGATTTCGATTTATGCACTAATGCATATTCATCCGCCATCTCTGCAGCTCTTCTCACTGTTTTAACTTTCTGTTCCTCAGCATGAGTTCTGATCATATCTGGAAGTGAGTTTTTAAACTTCTCCAACAGAATAGCCTCTCTAAGATCCTCATATGTCTTTTCTATCTTTAATGTTCTCATCCATCTATCAAAGTTGCTCTGTTTAATTCTTTCAAACTCTATATAAGTCTGACGTAGATCCTTTCTTACATTTCTGAACCGTTGTCTATATGCTTCTGGTACCAATTCGTAAGCACTCAAAATAGCCTGTTTTACTTCTTCATACTCCCTTGACACCTCTTCTGACAGCGCTACAAACACCTCACTAGCCCTGCCTGCCAACTTGGTCTGAATTAGCATTACCCACACAGTCTCTGGCCAGTTCATCTGTTTAGCTAATTTCTCAAAGGAAATGAAACAGGCTTCCACATCTTTGTCATCAAAGCTTGGTAATGTTTTAACATATTTGTATATATCCCTACTAGGCCTTTGGCTACGATGGGTTTGCTCATCATCACCCTCCTCCTCACTAAGCTTACCTTCATTTCCATCCTTTTAAATTGACTTTCCTGCCTAGTTGCCAACTTTCGAAGTTCAAATTCTGTCTCTTTTTCTTTTAGTTTAGCTCGAAACCTTCTTTCCTTTTCTTTCTCTTCTGCCCTGGCTATCCTTTCCTTTTCTTCAGCTAAGAATCTTTGTTCCCTTTCTTTACCTTCTAACTCCAATTGTCTGATTTGCAATTTAATTTTTTCTCACTCCACTGCACTTGACTGTTTCTCTGATATACCTAAATGCTTGACTAACTCTGTTACAATTTCAGCTTTCTTCTTATCCCTAGTTAAACCCAATTCTGGTCAGTCTTCTAATTCTAAAAAAGTGTCCCTTTTCTCTGTCTTTCCAAACTTTCTTGGCAAATTTGGGAAGCATCTTCGACCCCCAAAACTTCTTCAGCAATGTTAAGAACCATGTCCAAAGATTCTGATGGCTTTTCCATCAAATCTAAATGTCGATCTATTACAAACATTAAATTCTAACTTCCTGCCTTCTAATCCACAAATACTCTAACCAACTTCGCAACACCAGCTATGACTCAAACTTAACCTCAACAATATAATAGCCACTCGCTGAATGTTCTCAAAGGAGATTTATAAATTTATCACAATGTAAATTCAAATTTATAACTTACAAATTACCTCTTAATCTCTGCTTTGTGTATAATTTTGAATCAAACTGAAAACAAGGGAGAGAAATTTGCTCAAATAGTGCATACCGCATTCCTCAGTAATAAAGTTGCAGAATGCTGCAGGGGTCATGCACATATTGGCCTGCAATGCTGCTTCACCACAGGAAGTTGATGTTGTTCTGTGCAATCCCAATTGAAATAGATTAAGCAAGTAAATTTATTCTCCTGAAAACTGCATCAGGCAGAACTGCTCAATTACATACACATCAACACACACAAAACACACAAATCGGGTGCACATATTGAAAACAACACATTGCTCCTAATACCATCACAACCCAATGTACAGTACTGCACAACCATAACCCTCTATCATGAAAACAGCAGTGGGTCAAAGCATTCATCTATTCACGTACAGATCACAATTAAAATTATTACTTCAAAATCATAGCAATTTACCCTTTCATTCGGCCATCATTTACGGTTTCTTGCACAGATTTCCGTTCTTTTTTTCTTTTGCCATTTGGTTCCTGTAAAATAACAGTGAGAATAGATCAAATGCATATTCTAATCATTTACCAATAGGCACAGGAAGGTGTTGACATCAGATAGATTTATGTTTATACATAGTAAGTTTCTTGTATCAGGCAAACCAATCCGGGATTAAAAAAAACACAAGCAGCGCCCATGCCTTTCATTTTTACAAGGTGGCAGGAAGGAAGCGTAGTCGAGAAACACTAAAAAACGAAACCTGACAAACTGAATGATGGATCCAAGAACTTGCAGATTACCATGGATATCAGATCATGAGGAATTGGATAAAAAGCAAAGGAGAGATTGAAACACAGCAGTGTTGGACAAAGTTTGGAGAGAGGGTGTTAATGATGAAAGGACGATTCAGCTGAACATGGAAAGGCAGATTGCAGCCGGCCTGCTTCCTCCTGACCTACAAGCAGTACTGGAAAAGCACTTGTGTGCTGGACCTGTCAGTACACAGAGACAACAAGGTACAGGGCTGGATGAACACAGCAGGCCAAGCAGCATCATAGGAGCAGAAAGGCTGACGTTTCGGGCCTAGACCCTTCATCAGAAATGGGGGAGGGGAAGGGGGTTCTGAAATAAATAGGGAGAGAGGGGGAGGCGGATAGAAGATGGATAGAGGAGAACATAGGTGGAGAGGAAACAGACAGGTCAAAGGGGCGGGGACGGAACCAGTAAAGGTGAGTGTAGGTGGGGAGTTAGGGAAGGGATAGGTCAGTCCAGGGAGGATGGACAGGTCAAGGGGGCAGGATGAGGTTAGTGGGTAGGAGATGGGGGTGCGGCTTGAGGTGGGAGGAGGGGATAGGTGGGAGGAAGAACAGGTTAGGGAGGCGGGGACGAGCTGGGCTGGTTTTGGGATGCGGTAGGGGGAGGGGAGATTTTGAAGCTTGTGAAATCCACATTGATACCATTGGGCTGCAGGGTTTCCAGATGGAATATGAGTTGCTGTTCCTGCAACCTTCAGGTGGCATCGTTGTGGCACTGCAGGAGGCCCAGGATGGACATGTCATCTGAGAAATGGGAGGGGGAGTTGAAATGGTTCGCGACTGGGAGGTGCAGTTGTTTATTGCGAACCGAGCGTAGGTGTTCTGCAAAGCGGTCCCCGAGCCTCCGCTTGGTTTCCCCGATGTAGAGGAGGCCACAATGGGTACAGCGGATGCCAGTATACCACATTAGCAGATGTGCAGGTGAACATCTGCTTGATGTGGAAAGTCTTCTTGGGACCTGGGATGGGGGTGAGGGGGGAGGTGTGGGGGCAGGTGTAGCACTTCCTGCGGTTGCAGGGAAAAATGCCCGGTGTGGTGGTGCTGGAGGTGAGTGTGGAACGGACAAGGGAGTCACGGAGAGAGTGGTCCCTCCGGAAAGCAGATAAGGGTGGGGAGGGAAAAATGTCTTTGGTGGTGGGGTCGGATTGCAGATGGCGGAATTGTCGGAGGATGATGCGTTGGATCCAGAGGTTGGTGGGGTGGTATGTGAGGACGAGGGGGATTCTTTTTTGGTTGTTATTGCAGGGACGGGGTGTGAGGGATGAGTTGCGGGAAATGCGGGAGACACGGTGGAGGGCGTTCTCGACCACTGAAGGGGGGGAGGTTGCGGTCCTTGAAAAACGAGGACATCTGAGATGTACGGGAGTGGAATGCCTCATCCTGGGAGCAGATGTGGCAGAGGCGAAGGAATTGGGAATAGGGGATGGCATTTTTGCAGGAAGGTGGGTGGGAGGAGGTGTATTCTAGGTAGCTGTGGGAGTCGGTGGGCTTGAAATGGATATCGGTTTCTAGGTGGTTGCCCGAGATGGAGACAGAGAGGTCCAGGAAGGAGAGAGAGGTGTTAGAGATGGTCCAGGTGAACTTAAGGTTGGGGTGGAAGGTGTTGGTGAAGTGGATGAACTGTTCGAGCTCCTCATGGGAGCACCAGGCAGCGCCGATACAGTCATCAATGTAACGGAGGAAGAGGTGGGGTTTAGGGCCAGTGTAGGTACGGAAGAGGGATTGTTCCACGTAACCTACAAAGAGGCAGGCATAGCTTGGGCCCATGTGGGTACCCATGGCCACCCCCTTTGTCTGTCGGAAGTGGGAGGAATTGAAAGAGAAGTTGTTGAGGGTGAGGACGAGTTCGGCTAAGCGGATGAGGGGGTCAGTGGAGGGGGACTGGTCGGACCTGCAGGACAGGAAGAAGCGGAGGGCCTTTAGGCCATCTGTATGGGGAATGCAGGTGTATAGGGACT